TTAATATGATAGTTCAGAGCCAGAGTATAAATTTTGGAATCTTTATCTCATATAGATAGTATTTTAAACCCAGAGACTAGAAGAGATCACCAGAAGAGCTGTGTAGTCAGAGAATAAAAAAGTTTCAAGGAGAAGCAAGCAAAGGAAATGGAAACGGAGGAAGACCAAGGCAGTGGCTGTGCCAGAAGTAAATGGGTCCCCTGTTGCTGGTAGTTTAAGAAGGTTGAGAACTGACATTGATAATTAGACTTAGCAATGTGAACGTCATTGCTGATTTCTCAAAAGCAGTATTGGTGGAGTGGTATGTGTGAAAGTCCAACTAGAGCATTTTAAGAGGATAGAGGAGAGGAATTTATTCTTTGTGTTATTTTTTGCTGTAAAGGGGAGTGAGGCAACAGAGTCGCTGCTGAATGGTGAATTGGGGTCAAAAGAGTTGTTTTAACATTGGAAAAGTATTAGTGTATTTACGTGCTTATGGGAATAACAAAAAATAAGTAAAAATGATGATGCAGTAGAGAGCAGAGACAAATTCTGCAGTAATGTCCTTGAATAGTTGAAAGGAGATGGGACTAGAGAATAAATAAAGGGAGTATGAATAGTTCATCAGTTGTGGTCAAAGGGAAGGCAGATAAACAGGCATGATGCAGGTTGAGAGATTGAAGTGGTAGTGAGAGAGGGTGCAGAGTTAATGGTTTCTCAATGAAATAAGAACTAAGGATCAGCTGAGAATGTGAAAGAAGGTGTGATGGAAGTTTTAGTAGAGAGGATAAAATGTGAATTAGTGATCTAGGAGAAAGTGACTGGGAATTATTCTTTCTGATTTTTAATCTAGTTTAGATGATTTCACTAAACTGGTCTCCTAGCTTCTGTCCTTGTCCCAGATTGATTCACTTTAAACAAGATCATATCACTCTGCTCAGAGCCTCCCAATAACCAACAATCTTACTCAGAGTTACAGTCCAAGTCCCTCATTTCTCCTACAAGGCTCTATACTCTCTGTCCTCATATTGTCTCTCCAAGCTCATCTACAACTGCTTTTCCCCTCACTCACACCATCAAGGCCCACAGTTGTGTCTATTTTGTTCACTACTGTCTCTTCAGCACTTAGAACAGTGCCTCCCACATAATAGGTACTCTGAAGATTTGTTTAGTAAATCCAGTGGTAGCATTTAAGTGGTTATCCAAGAAGAATATAGGCAAAGTCATCCAAAATACAGGCTTTTTCTGTGTGTTGGGTTTGTTAGGACATATGAGTAATTATGCCTTTTTTGTTATTAACTGGGACCGTCTGGAGCCAGGTGTTTTGCTCATTTAAATGCCACTAAAACTTGCACGTATCTCTCACTCAAAAAATTTAAGAGATGGCAGTTTATGATTTTTTGTACTGCAGATTGAGCTATGTAATGTTTGTACTTAATGTATGTTTATATTCAGGCATAGGCTAACATAACCCAATCTCATTCAATGAAACAATGAGCCAAAGTGGATAAAACTCTGAAATTTGTTAAGGATGTTGTTGAATACTTTTTTTTTTTTTTTTGCATCACATAATGCCTCCATTATGAGACTAATGGGAGAAAATTATTTTTGTTGTTGTTAATCCTCACCCAAGCATATTTTATCCATTGATTTTTAGAGAGAATGGAAGGTGGAGGGGGAAGAGAGAGAGAGACATGGGTGTGAGAGAGACATCCATTGATTGCCTCCTGCATGTGCCCTGACTGCAGCCAGGGATTAACCTGGTACCCAGTTGCATTCTGAGTGCTAACCTCGTTTCTTGCTTCACCTCATTTATATCACCATCCTATTTTCTTTCTTTTTTCAAAATTTATATTTTATTGTTGACAGTATTGCAGTTATCACCAATTTCCCTACCTATTGCCCCCCTTCATCCAGCCCCTACCCCACCCCAAGCCTTCAATGCACTATTGCCTATGCATATATGCACATAAATTCTTTTCTCTTCCATCCTGTTTTCTTAAAACCAATTTGAGTAACCCCCCATTGAATCATTTTACTATATTACCTCAGAGTTCCTACACAAGTAGGAAAGAATATTGGTACTTCCAAGTTTCAGTGGAGGGAGCAAAGCCAAGGCAGAAGAAAAGGTGAATGATAGAAAGGTGTCATTTCTGATGTGGGATAAAGATCACTAGGTGTGGAATCAAATTGTGTATTTTAAATAAGATTTTTAAATTAGCTGGGACACCATAAGAAAGTAACTACCAATGAATTGCAATTCTCAAGGATTTACATTACCCAGATTTAATCCACTCAACTACTTAGCATTTTGGGAACTATTGAACCCTTCTCTTTCTTAGTTCTGTGTTTCTTTAAATGCTGCTACTATGAAATTGATTAATGGTGCTTATCAGACAGATTAAATTTATGTGAAAGAGTGATAGTAATGACATAAAGATCACAGAAGAGAAAAGAGCCTCAGGAAAAAAATGAAAGATTAGGTTGTTACCCTGGCCATCTTAATGAAAAATGAGTATCAAAAATGGGGGGAGCCCTGGCCAGTTTGGCTCAGCGGTTAGAGTGTCGACCTGCGGTCCGGAGAGACCGGGGTTCGGTTCCCGCTAAGGGCACGTACTTCGGTTGCAGCTTGTCCCCGGCCCTGGTTGGTCGTGCGGGTGGCAGCCACTCGATGTGTCCCTTCACGTCGATGTTTCTCTCTCTCTCTCTTCCTCTCTCTCCCTCCCACTCTATCTGTACAAAAAATGGAAAAATATCCTCGGGTGAGGATAAAAAATAAAAAAAAATGGGGGGAAAGTCAAATATAAGGAGAACAAAGAAAAAGATAGACTAGAAAAAGGAACAAGAGAGAACAAGAACCCAAAAGAGGGTAGAATAATTGCATTCCCATCTTCTTTTAGAGATTAAAAGCAGATCTTGTCAGAGGTGGGAAGCAGCCATTCATCTGTGTCCCATGTCACCACACTTCTTAGCCCACCCCATTATAGGGTGAAGCTATCCAGGTCAGCAGAATTAAATAGCATAAAACACCAGTTACTACTTTCCCTGTAATTTTTTATTCTGCTTTTATAATTTTACCCAGAAAGATTCATCTTTTCTGTGTCATATCAGTATTTTAATGATATTCACCTTCCATTTCACCAATATTTTTCTTAGGAAGAAGGAATTGCTTATAGTAAGGTATACTCTCCATAATGCAAGAGCTAGAATTTGTTCTAGGAGAACTTTAAGGGTGAATATGTTTATCAAAATAATTACTGTCTGCCTTTAGAAAAAGACTTAAATTGATCAAGCATAGAGACTATAATAATAACAAAACCACAAATATCACATTTACATATGTCAGGTGCTGCTCTCAGCATTTTACATGTTAATTAATTAATTCCTTGCAACCATCCTATAAGAAAGGTACCATTACTATCCCCAATGTAGCAATGAGGAAATTATGACGTGCCCACGATCCCACAACTTATAACTGGAATACCTATAACTCACACCCAGGGAGTCTGGCTCTAGAGCTTGGGCTTTTAAGTACTCCATCACACTTGTTAGATGAATAAAATGTAAATTTTAAAATGAAAGGATGGTTTAATTCAGTAGGTTTTTTTTATATATTTTGTTTCGTGATATGTATCTTGTTGAACTAGCAGCATTTGTGCATCTGAGTTTTATTAATGTCTAGAGATCCAGAAAAAACACACACACACAAAAACTCTGTATATCTTTGTGTGTGTGTATGTGTGTGTTTGTGGTTGTTAAATATTGGAAGGTTTGCTCACTAAAGTTTTTGAGGTAATTTGTTGTCCTTTTTTTTTACAAATCATTACATGGCTTTATTGCATCTTTATTTATTTATTTATTTTTTATCCTCACCCGAGGACATTTTTCCATTTTTTGTACAGATAGAGTGGGAGGGAGAGAGAGGAAGAGATAGAGAGAGAAACATCGATGTGAAAGGGACACATCGAGTGGCTGCCACCGCACGACCAACCAGGGCCGGGGACAAGCTGCAACCGAAGTACGTGCCCTTAGCGGGAACCGAACCCAGGTCTCTCCAGACCGCAGGCCGACGCTCTAACCACTGAGCCAAACCGGCCAGGGCTATTGCATCTTTAAAATACCACAAGTAACTATGAGGAGTCATCAGCATCTTGCTGTTTCTATAGCTGGACTACTGAACTGTTCTTTTTCAGAAACATAGATACCATCCAAAATTTGTTTAAATATTGTGACTTGCTGAGTCTAAGAAGCTGAATTTCATATAAATTCATTGTCATTCCCTTCAAGAATTAACTCACCTTTCTGGGCTTGAGATACTGAACAAGCTATACCTGACCTCATCTGAACCCAAGACATTTCCGATTTCAACAAGGGGACCATTCTACTGAATAAAGATGTTGATGGGGAAGTGAGTGTACGCAGACCTCATCTTGTAATGAAAACCCAGTGCAACATCCTTGACACATTCTCTACATGACTGCAGATCCAGACAGTGCAAACTATAGCCAATTCCTTTCGCCACCATCTGTCAATCCAGAGCCTCTCCTTTTTCTTCCCAAGGAGGATGAGTTCTACATTGATGTGATTGAAGTCCCTCCACAGGGTGCTTCTGGGGCCCTTCACAATAACTGTGCATCCCTTCAAAGTGATATCAACATTTTCTGGAATGTCAGCAATCTGATTGCTGAGAATGGTCTTCTTCCACTCCGTAGATGTGGCAAAGGGAGCTGAGTTCATTTGTTTCTGATAAAATTAACAACTTCTTTCTAGGACTCTTCTAGTAAATTGGAACTAAAATTGGGCCTAGCAATCATATGACAATGTAGAAGAAAAACTGGGGCTAACAATTTAAGAATTTCTAGAAAGTAAACATAGAATTTGGATTGAAAACAAATTCTTTTATTTGGGTAACTGATTGATAATTTTTGGAAATAAAGCTCAGTAGCTTTTTTTTTTTTTAATTTAATAGTAGTTGTTTTTTGTGTTTGTTTTTTTTTTTTTTTTTTTTGTATCTTGCTTAGGTCTGCCCAGAGAAAAAGGGATGCTATATAAGCCTGAAAAGGGTTGAATGGAAGATTATATGTGATGCTAGTGCCTTGTTAGAAGATTTCATCTGTGTATAAGGCTGCTCTACCAGAACAATTTACAGAAGAAATATGATAGTACATGGCATTGAGCTCATGAAGTTCTTTGGCCTCAATAAGGCAGCATCACCAATGCGACAGATATGTTTTTAACCAATAAAGGTGATGAATTTGATATTTTGAAAAACTAAGAAATCAATCGGGCTCCTTTCTTTCTAATTAATAGTGTTTTTCAAGTTGCAGGGTGGGGGGGGTGGATATTTGAAAAATATATTGTGTATGTGTTTACTTACAATCCATTATCAATGTATAATTGGATTGCACCCTACTAGGGCAGCACAAATTGGATGACAATACTCTCTGTTAAGTTTCAATTTAGTGCCCAAGCCAGTTGGCTTAGTTGGTTGGGTATCATCCCATGCACCAAAGGGTTTGGGTTCGATTTCTGGTCAGGACACATACCTAGGTTGCAGGTTCAATCCCCTATTGGGGAGCATATGGGGGGCAACTGATCAATGTTTCTCTCTCACATCGATGTTTCTCTCTCTCTTCCTCTAAAGATCAATAAGTATATCCTTAGGTGAGGATTTAAAAAAAAAAAAAAAAATTTTTTAATTTAGTCACCCTGGGTTGCAAACTTGCTTGGGTGAATATCTGGGGACATTTAACACATGTGTTGCTGCTGAACATCATCTTTTTAGTTTTTTGCTGATGCAGTGATTTTCATAGGTCATAGGAACATGATCTATCTCCAATGGTTCCATTTTCTTAGATTTGACCCTTGCTCCAACCTTTCTAGATTATGACATCAGATATATTGTTTTCTTTTCAGCTTTGTGTCGTCTATAAATTTGATGAGCTTGTTGTCTCCAAGTTATAGAGACATATTTCAAATAAGAAAGAGCTAAGGGCAGAACCTTATAGTTCTCCGGCAAAAGCAAGCAAAAGCTACAACCTGTTAAGAAATTGGTAAGTTAAACAACTAATTTTTGGACTGACTTAATCATCTGAAATATGGTGACTATTCTGAATGCCAGCTAAGAGATTAATAAATTTTATAAAGGACTAGAGACAGTTGATGGCATTGAGGTACATTATATTTAAATAAGATGAGAGCCTCGTATTTTGAAAGAAAATAGAACTTACTTCAAAATTGAACATTAATACATTTAAAATAAATTATATTAAACTATCTTTGCAAATTATTGCATCCTTTACAGAGCATGCAAAACAAAAAGTGGGTACTCAATAGACATTAGTTGACTGGGTAAAATAAATAAATAAAATAAAAGCTACCCTCCTTGAAATGAGTTTATTAGTAAACTAAAATAAGCATTCTTTAGATGGTTGCATTTTTTGCATAATGTTTAACTTACGAACTACTTTTATTATTTCACTCTCATACACACAATCTTTTAGTGGCTTTCTGCTTCCTGCCTAATTACTTTGCCTGGACTCTGAGTCCTACATTTTTACTTCCACCTGCCTATCCAGTCTCCATGTCCACTAACTTGCTTCTTCCTTTATAATTAAGACAGTTTCCTCACTGTCCCCAAAACATCCCACAATCTATTCTCTTTGCTTGGTTCAAATTTTCCAGGCCTAATGCTTTCCACTGTCCTATAAAGTCATCCAAATCTTGCCAATTCTTCAAGACTCAGTCAAATGCCACCCTCTCCCTAGCAAATTTTCTCTTATAGCTCTAGTATTCATCTGTTTCCCTCCTATCTGAAATCATGAAATTATTCACTCAATGAATACTTGATGCTAAGTGTTCAGCACTGTGCCAGCATAAGGTATAAAAACACTTTTCCTGCCTTGTAGTCAGACTGTCTGGATTGAATTTTTCCTGTGTGATGATGTACCAACTTTTTAACATTGGACAGTTTCTTAACCTCCTATTCCTCTACTTCTTCATTTTATAAATGGAGTAATAATAACAGCTACCTCACTAGGTAGTTGTTATTATTATTATTATTTTGTTGTTGTTGTTACAGATGTTTCTCCTTTTTTACCCCATCCCCGGCTTTGTTGTCCATGTCCATTGGTTATGCGTACATGCATGTAAGTTCTATGGTTTATCTCTTCCCTCCCCCCTCTACCCCCTCTTCTGAGGGTTGTCAGTCTGTACCCTACTTCCACATCTCGGGGTCTACCCTATTCCTCAGACTGTTATGATCATTATATTCCACAACTAAGTGAGATCATGTGGTAGTTGTCTTTTTCTGCTTGGCTTGTTTTGCTTAGGATAATACATCCCTCCATGTCCTCTTAACGGATAAGAGATCTTTATTTCTTATAGTTGCATAGTACTCCATTGTATATATGTACCACAACGTTTTTATCCATTTGTCTACTGATGGACACTTGGGCTGTTTCCACATCTTAGCTATTGTAAATAGTGCTACTACAAACATGGGGGTACATATATTCTTTCTGATTGGTGTTTCAGGCTTCTTAGGGTATATTCCTAGAAGTGGGATCACTGGGTCAAATGGAAGTTCAATTTTTAATTTTTTGAGGTCACACCATAGTGTTTTCCATAGTGGCTGCACCAGTCTGCATTCCCACCACAGTGTACTAGAGTCCCCTTTTCTCCACACCCTCACCAACACTTGTTTGATGATTTGTTGATGGCGGCCATTCTGACAGGTGTGAGGTGATACCTCATTGTTGTTTTAATTTGCATCTCTCTGATGATTAGTGATGTTGAGCATTTGTTCATATGTCTCTTGGCCATTTGTATGTCCTGTTTGGAGAGGTGTCTATTCAGCTCCTCTGTCCATTTTTAAATTGTGTTCTTTGTCTTCCTTTTGTTGAGTTGTATGAGCACTCTATATATTTTGGAAATTAACCCCTTATCTGATGCATCATTGGCAATTATGTTCTCCCATACAATAGGTTGCCTTTCCATCTTGATGGTTGTATCATTTGCTGTGCAGAAGCTTTTTAGTTTGATGTAGTCCCATGTGTTCATTTTTTCCTTTGTTTCTGTTGCCTTAGGTAATGTATCAGTGAAAATTCTGCTGCATATGATGTCTGAAATTTTGTTGCCTACATTTTCTTCTAGGATTTTTGTGGATTCACAGGTCACATTTAAGTCTTTTATCCATTTTGAGTTTATTTTTGTGTATGGTGTAAGTTGATGGTCTAGTTTCATTTTTTTGCATGTAGCTGTCCAATTTTCCCAACACCATTTATTAAAGAGGCTGTCTTTACTCCATTGTATGCTTTTGCCTCCTTTGTCAAATATTAATTGAGCATATTGTCTTGGGTCCATTTCTGGGTTCTCTGTTCTGTTCCACTGGTCTATATGCCTATTCTTGTGCCAGGCTGTTTTGATTACAGTAGCTTTGTAGTATAACCTGATATCCATATTGTGAGGTAGTTGTTATTATTAAAAGAGATAATTACTTAAAGTTTAAGGTCAATGCTTTATTTAGCAAAACGTTTCATGAATACTTGTTTATATTGTTGTTTTGTCATATGAATGAAAACTGTAAAGAGGCAATTGCAACTAATAGTAATGAGTACACTGATAAAATTGAGTACAGGAATCTGTGAAACCACAGGAGCAGCACCTAGCGTAACCTTAGAGATCAGGACAGACTTACTGCAGGAAGTGATTCCTAAGCTGAGGACAAAAGGGTAAGTAAAATAACTACAGTACTCAACTCTTTGTAAATCTCTTCAATTGCATGATCAACTTTACATGAATAGCATTCTTTCATAAGTTCCCAAAGAATGTTTTTCATGGAACTGAACTTTGTGAACCCATTCCTTATCCATAGAACTGCACACACACTTTCTTCTCCAAGAAACACCCCACCCCAGACAAATACATCCCCAGCTCTCTTAGGAAAATTTAAATATAAGAGAGGTGATTCCACCATAGAATTATGAATTCACAATGTGATTAAAATACAAAAATAAAATTTAACCTACAAAATCAGTAATTTACATTGAAACCAAAATTTCTCTGATGGCTAAAATCCAATCTCATCAAATGACTGAAGGTCCTAGTCTCTCCTTGGATCATTTGATTTTTACCAGAGCCTCGGTTGTAGTCATTAATCTCCAGGCTTCTCAGTGCCCAGAGGCAACTTTGTTATATAGAGTGTGTCTTCCACTATATGCTCGGCTACCCAAGTTATTTCAGAATCTGCTCATTACTGTTATTAGAGAAATGGATGGACGGTCTTTCTTCATTGCTAGTGGGAGTGGGGTTCTTGGGGTACCACAGGAATAAGCATTTCCAGGGGTCCCCTGGGAGAATAAGATGTGGTATAAAGATTTATTTATGTGAAATTATGTTCTTAAGTTTCCAAAATCTTTGTTCCCTTAAACCAATCCTGGAAAAGGTGCAGCTGGGGATTCAGCAGAGCTAGAAGCAAAGCCAGTGTCCAAATTTTTCATTCTATAGTGTAGTTGGGTCTGATACAGCATCAGGCTAATTGTCATCCATTAGTCCATTGTGTGTGGGGTCCACATGGCCATGGGCCATGTGGGCAAATGCAGGAGCATGAGAATCCCACAGTTAGGAGCGCAAGAGACGAGAGAAAACTGCTTTGTTTAGGAGCTTAAGTATCTCAGATTTTGCATCCTTTCAGTGGCCATGCCTATCCTGGCCAATGACCTGTTCCCAGGTGTGACTGACAGGCAAATACCATCCCTACATCACACAGACTTTTCTGGGCATACATCTACATCTATCCTTCCCCACTCCAGTCTCTTCCTCCAGCAAGACAGGTGGCTTCCTTGGGGAGTGTTAAATTGCAGCTTCCTGGCAAAGCTGCACAAATGGCATACCTATAAAACTTGGCCTTCCCTTTGCTCCTTTCCAGTTATTAATAAGTGAGTTCATTACAATGGTATTATTACCACCTAATAAAGGAAAAAGAAACAAACTATATTCCCATATCTTTGATATATGCCATGTTAATTTTTTTCTTTTTTCACATCATAGTGTTATATATACTTTCAGATTCTATTGTTTCACATATCTCAATCTGTATCCAACCCTGCCTGCTTTGTCCCCTTCCTTGCATGGTTCGTAAGGTAACTAAGGATAGGAGCCATGTAGTGCTGTTGTATCCAACTCCACAGGCTAGATGTGCCCTATGAAATTCCAATGGGCACCATCCTCACAGTGCACTAAGACTGTGCTCCTGCAGCTGCAGTGCGGCAGCCCCAGAGCTCCTTTCTAACAGCTCTTTCACACATAGATGCCTATTATATCTAAGTAGTCAATCAGTAAATATTGGCTGTTTAATTTATTATTGATTGTTCAAAGAAACAGACTCGTGTTTACGTTTCTACAATCAACAAACATTTAAACTTTTCCATGAGCTTTTCATCTCTAGTATTAGAATATTTCTTTTCTAACAATCAGTAATTCATTTTAAATAATCAGAATAAATGTTAGTCCCGTATTAAAACATTTAAATAATTCTATTTGTTGAGGATCTAGCTTTTTGTGTTAATGTAAATTTTCTATTGTTAATTGATAAATGTATTTGTATCTGTCCATTAGGTTAAATAAAATTTGGATATCAAGAGCACAATTTTACCCAATTTTTTTTATTTTTTACTCACAAAATATTCTTTGGGTATTTATAAAACAATGACTGAGGCAAAACTCTTATTGTTTCTTTCTTTTGGTAGATTTCATGATATAGAATATTTTCTCCAAAACTGACTAAAAAGAGGTTTCTCTTGCAGTTTGAAAGAGGAAGCAGAATGCAATAATCACATAAAATTCAGAAAACCTTTTTAATAGGTGACTTCAGTTAGAGCTCACTGATCAATATTATAAAAGAAGCTTGCTATAAATTATTATAGCTTTTGCTTATAATGACCTTACATTTGGAATCAATTGAAATGTGCACGTGCTTTCAGGTTGACTTTTGAACTCCTCTGATTTGTGACAAAGGTAAAAGTAAATGATGGACTAATTAATTTGTGCACACTTTCTTGGCAAGTTAATGAATATGGTGCAGTAAATAGTTGGCTAGTTCAGGCAACCTTAAGTGCATTAAGCTCTTTAAACTCTTTGTTTAAATCTGTGTTTGGTATTTGAAGAATATTTTCAGCTTCTTAGTCTCCTTTGAGACTGGTGTCCCAAGTCAGGGCCTCTTTGATTCTCCATCTTGCTTGGCTCTTGTTTCTGTCCCCTAACCTTGGCTATTTTCAGGACTGTGGCCTGATCTTGATTGCTGCTTCCTACAAGTGGATTTTAATTTTCCTGTTCTTATCAAGAGATCAGTTTGCTTCCTTATGGTGCTCCACCCTAGATTGACTGATGAGTGTGCATGTGTGCACATACACATGTATTTTTGTTTGTGTGTTGTGAGTGTTGTCATGAGTAGTAGAGAAAAGACTAGAACTAAGATGCATCATTTACTTTTTATATGTACTTTCTGTAAGGTACTTTCTTACTTTCTTTAAATGTTGCAATTTATGAACAGAACATATACATTCCCAATTAAAGAGTATATAAAGAATACACATAGGAAACAAATAAGACAGCAAGGCCACATAGTTATTTAAGGTTATACTTATGAAATGGTGGAGCCCACCTTTACATGCAGGACTGCATACCCGTTTTCCAAAGAGTGTTTCTCAAAGTCTTCTACTTAGAGCAGAATCTCCTCAGGCATGTGTTTAAAACACATGAATTTCCTGCCTCATGGAAACCTAGGGATAGGTCCCAGAAACACCGCCCCAGTGTGTCCAGAAAGTTCAAGAAATAATAGACTTTAAATGATCAACAAATACTAGAATAAAGGATCTGAAAACCCAAATGACTTTTCCACTTGAAGCATAGTTTTATGGAAAGTGTCAGGCACCTGAAAATAAGGTTTTATAGTGACAAATGTCTTTTCAGGGATGATTATGGCTTTATGCAAAGTCAATCCCAATAAATCTTTTCTACAAAGCTCAAGTCTCAGTCTAGGCTGGAAGTAAATCATTTTCCCTGGCACCACAGTTCCAAAAAAGAAAGCCAGTGAGGACAATATTATGAATGTTGCTTTCCTGGCACTAGCCATCTAAAGAATAGTTGCATTGGCAAAATTTTTCTCTCATGACCTGTTTTTAAATAAAGAATAAAAAGTATAGTCACTCATCTATGTAGAAAATTATAAAGACTGGAAATGAGGAAATAAAACAGAGTCTAATACATCCAAAAGGAAATCAGTATTCTATGCATTAAATGAACAGGGATTTTTTTTTTTTTAATGAATAAAGTGAAAGTACACCACATTAACATTCAATGAGACACTTAAAGAAAAGAATGTTAATTTACAAAGAGGACCTTATTAACCTGCTAGTTAGCACTAATTTAAGTTATTGTTAAGAATTTCACCTTAAACCTGGGTTTAAAACTAGGCCTACTATTATTTTAAGAAGCATACTATTTCCAGAATCTCAATCAATATATATTAAGTTTGAGGAAGAAATTCATCATTAAGGAAAGACTGCTTCTGCAAAGGCATTCAGTTTACAAACAAAGAAAAAGTCAAGTGTGAAAACAGGTGGTAGCAAAGAAAGGTATGAGGATGCTAAGTAATAGCTGACCAGAAGAGCAGCTCATATCAATAAGAATTGGAAAGAAGTTGCTACATTGAAGATAGTAAAGAAAGAATAGGGTTGACTTTAAATATTACTAAGTCGAGGAGGAGGGGACAGTCTGATTGCTGGATTGATTCAGCTCATCTGAAAAAAATCATGAAATGTGCATATTTACATCAGGTCTTGTGTTAGTCAAGCATGCAAACCTAAGAGGGAAGCAAGATTTCCTAATTAATGCTAACTGGAGCCAGAGAATGAATGACTTAATTTAGAGACTTCTATAATTATCTGATTATGGACACACAGGAATGAGTGAAAATATCTTTTTTTTTTTTTCACTTTCAACAACTAATCTTTCAAAATGTATATGAGAGTAATGTCACCCCAGTTGACAAGTTGGGAGTATGAAAGGGGGAGGTATCCTTTCTTGGCTCATGTTTGACCTTCTCTGGCTGGGCTTATCCCATCAGAATGGGAACGGCAGGCAACAAAGCTACCAAGGGCAGAATGCAATAGTCAGTTTTCGTTAAAGGTTTTATTCATGAAAAAGGTGATAACAAGGACGGAAACACTCCAAGAGCCAGAATGCTTGCCTGGTCATACCAATTCTGCCACATAGGCACAGAGACAGCCATTGAGTAAAGATGAAAACACGAGTCAAGCCTGTCAGCCTCCACTCATTCACCTGGCCACCTTGAATATTTGCAATTCTCCTAGCTCCTCTGTATTTCTTTTGGGGCAGCTGTACCTATGTCTGTTGATTGAATACTGCTTATCAGAGACAATCCAGGAAAACAGGAAAAAAGCAACTCCTGTGGCTTATATTTTATTTTAAATCTATCATTTTCTTTAAAAAAAATAATGTTTTTATTGATTTTTAGAGAGAGTAAGGGAGAGGTAGGGAAGAGAGAGGGGGAGAGAGAGAGACAGACAGACAGAGAGAGATCCATCGGCTGCATCCTGAACGCCCTCCTACTGGGGCTCCTGCCTGCAACCGGAGCATGTGCCCTGACCGGGAATTGCACCAGGGACCCTCCTGTGCATGGGACAACACTCAACCAACTGAGCCACACCGGC